TGTGAGAGGAAGAAGCTTGTTGACCAATCGCTGCGGTTAAAAGAGAAGAGAGAGCTTTAGAGGCTCTCTAAACGACCAAGAGAAGCCCAAAGAACTTCATGGCACCAGATCCAGTTCAGGTTGTACAGAATGAAACAAACTGCCCAGTTAGGACACACACACATGGCCAACAGAACCGTTGCCATACAAGAAGCCCTGTCAAAACTGCCCACCCTCTTCTTCATGTAGACTGCATACTAATTCAACATTATGTGCCACCAATCAACTCCACTGAGCGCATTCACTTTCACAAAGCCTCTACCTTTGGATCTTTTCCAAAAGGCTTAATGTCAAATCCAGGTGGAGGGTAGGATAAGCCAGTTTGATGGAGAGCTGGCTGATTCTGAGACTGCTCTTACAAATGACTACTTTCTCAATAAACGAAGCCAAGAGGTTGCTCTCATTGTGCGGCATGAAGATCCAGTTAAATGTATTTTAGCATGATGGCATCATGTTCAAACAGCAATCCGTGTACTGTTACACACTGCATATATGCTTTTTAAAATTAGCGAGCTGTAGGATATGCATTGAGTCATTCTCAGCTTCAGACCACAAAGTCATGGTATGTAGTCATGGTATGTGTTGGTTGTTCTGAATGGTACAATTTCCTCTCCAGAGGGCATGCGGAAAAGGTATAACTGACTGATTACTTTTATTCATATGAGGCTGCATGTCAGTAAATTCATCACAGAAACTATTCAGGTGAACAATGCTAAAATCGTAGCATTAAATCTAATTTCAGGCACCGCTTGAAATGTTCCTGGAACATTCTCAGAGATACAATGTTTAAAGTGGCACCACGCCGCAGAGATGCTGGTGCTCAGAAAGAGGCTGAAGGGTCCACGTTTATCTTGACTTCACTTAGCATTTCGGCTCTCTCTCTCTGCAGAGAGGGTGGAAATGAAAAGGTAATCCAGGCCCCACAGGGCCGGTAGCAGGTGCAAGAGCTGTTTTTCACCTAAATCAGTGTTCCATTTGCAGTGTGATGTTTCAGGGTGTCAGGCCAGAGTGGGCCCCACAGCACAAGGCCTGTGGCAGTCAAGCCCGGGCCATAATCCATCCATGGTATGATGAGAAAACATGCTCACCTGAAACAGCTCAGTACATATTATCATTGTCAGTTCACCTCCTTTTGCCCTGTCGATGCCAACCAGCCTCAGGGGGATGGACATAACCACATCAGGATGGTGCATTCAATAACAGCATGGCATCTATTTGAGTTTGTGTACATAAATACAAAACATGTTTTAGAGAGAGACGCCAAAGCAAATTTATTTTGTACCATTTCCATCCTATTTCAGAACTAAAAATGATCAAAAAACAATTTATACTTTAAACACATTTTCTGCTGTGCCCATACACTCACACCAGCACCGCAAAAACAACTGTTACAATAAAAAAATAAAAATTAATAATAATAATTAATTAATAATATATTGGCAATACGGAATATGTCGCAATTATATACCTTTACATTAATAAACGTAATAAAATTGTACAAATAAGGAGATCTACTAATTTTTAAAGAATAAATATTAAACACTTGCAGTAAACATATGAAGTTGCGGCCTGCCAAATATATCATTATATTGATTAATTTTGTTAACATCGTACAAAATACAATTTGTTAAAGCATTATACAATTTGTTAAAGCATTAGGTATCACTAAAAATAATGCAGTATGTGTTCTATGTATTAATATAATTATTAATCTAGATTAATGCTAATTTATAAACATATGATTACTGTTATAAACATTATTGTAATTTATGTTTGTTCATAATACATTTGTTTTAATTTACACAACTTGAAATGTTAAATGTTAGTTCATGATACTAGTGTTAACCAATTGAACCTTAATTTGAATACATCACATACCTGTATACAAACATATCCTATTTTAAAATATCCAGTTTGGTTCCTAAAGCATCACATTTCTGCACTACAAAACAGCAAACAACTTTATCCAGTTCAAAACAGCAAACAATGTATTTTAGACTGTCTGTACTGATAGACAATAAGCCAAACTACAGGTAACAGGCATGCAGTGCCTTTTAATCACTACCCTCGTCCTTCTTTTCCACTCTCTCCCTCCGTTTACGGAGTATCTCGACTCTCTCTCTCTGTCCCTCTGCATCTTGACACAGCACACTGAGCTTAATCGCACATAATTGGGTGGGTGGGACAGTGGGCCGGCCCAGGCTTTGTGTGCAAAGGGCAAGTGGTCAAGTTAATGGAGCCCTTGTAGTGAACAGGGAGCTCTCTCCCTCTACTGGGACAGAGGGAGGGGACAACCGGACCTCTTTCAAATATCAAAAGACAGAGCTAGGTTCCTTTTTAACCCCTCCTTCTCCTCTCTCTCTCTCTCTTTTCCACAGACTGACTGACAGGATTATCTGCATAGCGACTCTACAGCTGAGCTTCAAGTTGGCTATCAGAGCATGGGAAATGAAGAGGCCTAGAGTGACAGTGAATTGAGGCACATGCCATTCACTAGTCAAGTGACACTGTAGGACATATAGTCAGATCCAGAAGTGAGAACACTAGAAAAAAAAAAGTTTTTTTTTCTGATTTAATACAAATGTTTTCATAAATATATTAAGCATAACAATTTGAGTGAAAATTGAATTGAAAAATTAACTTGATAATATCTCAGTATTTGGTTCTAACAAAAAAACAAACAAACATATAAATAGCATTGTTCTGCTTATTTAATTGCTGATATTAGAGCAGAATCTTAAATATTTCTGTTTGATTTTACTTCATAACTTAAATATGTTGGTTAAAAATGCCGGAAAAACTTTATTTCCAGGTTTAAATGGAAAAAATAAAATCAGATTTTTGGTCCCAACATTTGGGGAGATTAATTTCTACAATTGATGCATTAAATAAACGAAACAATTTTGACATTAATCATTATAACAATGAGCCATCACACCACAAATCAATTACACATTATGTGACACAAAAAATTTGCAGGACACAGAAGGATTCAAAACAATGATTTAATCACAGTCGTTACAAGCACCTGCAGTGTCAGTGAGAAACAATCACTTTGGACTCATCTGTGTTTTGTACAAACGTAATCACAGTGCAGAAGCACACAGCCCTGAACAATTCACAACAAACCAAAGAGCTCTGAATGAGGTGTCAGCAGCTCACCACAAGGAGAAAACAACAGTGTGGGGAAAAAGGGCTATAGTTTAGAAAAAAAAACTAAGATTTATTTGTTAAAATGCATAAAAAAGCTTGAGGGTTTAATATTTAATATTTGGGCATAAAATAATATTCTTCTGAATGTAAACCAAAAAACAACTGTATACCCCTTGATTTACAAAAACAGAACTATTGAAGCTTGAAAAAAAAAAGATAATTGTGACATTTTTTTAATATAATCCAGACTTTATGTAGAGTTAAAGTTTATATCTTGTAATTCTAAGTTTGTATCTCGCAATTCTGAGAAGAAAAGTCTGAATTGTGAGATATAAACCTGTCAGAATTGAGTCAGAATTATGAGATAAGTCATAGTTACCTTTTTTATTTTTTATTCTGCAGTGGAAAAAAACAACAACTGCAGGATGTAAATTCAGTGTTCAGAGGAAAAAAGTCAGAATTGCGAGATGAAAACTCATAATTGCAAGATGTAAAAAAAAGTCTGAATTGTGAGATAAGTTGCCATTTGTATTTTTTTTTCATGGCGGAAAGGGGCCTCTATACAGAACTCATATGAATTGTATCCATTAATTAAATTTAAATGTGAAAATCGTCATCATTTACTCACCCTCATGTCGTTTCCAAACACATATTATTTTCTTTCTTCCATGGAATCCAAAAAGAGAAGTTTAGCAGAGTGTCAATGCTGCCCTTTTCCATTCAATGAAAGTGGATGATGACCAGAGGCTGTCCGTTCCAAAAAAGGGCAAAAAAAAAAAGCACCCTGTCCACTAGGGGCACCCACCCTCTTTTGAGCCAGTGCCCCCGACTGGCCCCCCCATTTAAAATGCTCTAGACATGCCCCTGCTGTCCACCCAGCTTTCCTCTGTCCTCTGAAGCCTTTGTGTGCAAAAAAAGAATGAAACTTAAGTTGTTATACTCTGAAAATGTTGCTTGGTAGTTATGATCACCATTCACTTTTATTGTATAGAAAAAACAATTTAGACATTCTGCTACAAATAATCTTTTTTACATTCTAAGGTTAAAAGAAAATCAAATGGGTTTCAAAAGACATGATAAATGATGACACCATTTTCATCTCTTTATGAGGCCATTGGTCCAGCATGCACAGTGAGTGCACTCTAAACATACAGGACTCAGTGGAGAACAGTGCTGCAGGTCTTACCAGTGGTAGTGTGACGCTGTCAAGATATCAGTTCAGTCTTAGTCTGGCCTAATCTGTCATATCTTGTCAGTTCTTCGATAAAAAATGCCAGATGAGAGCATTTCACAGTGAAGCAAATAACATTCAGCGCAGCAGCATCCATCCCATCCCCTCATAACCTTTGGTGTCAGAATGAGCCTTTGAATATAGATACAGAATCAGTAGCTAACTGAGAGCTGGTGTCATTATGATAACAAGATCTCATGATCAAGACGACCCTACGGCCTCATTTACGTCTTTGTAAAGAGGCGAAGATAGTCCTGTGAACCTGATTAGCTGTATCAGCCTCCAGAGTTGAATTCATAAATTCGTAACGTTCTGCCCTGAATCATCATCTCTGATATCACGTACAGTATACTCACAGGCATTGAATAAGTTCATATCTGAGCATCACATCCGCAGTGTTTGTAGGATGAGAGGGAGGGATGTGTTCTCCATTCCCATTTAATGCATTTCACACTGTTGTTGCACAGTAAACAGGTCAAGTACACGCACACATGGCAACTCACCTACATAGTCTGTTTTCACTGCACACACACACACGGTAGTTAAAAAAGTTATCCGAGTTGAGGAGTGTGGTGGCGGTACAGAAAGGCAGCCTGGCATGAGATGGCTTTGCCCAGCTCAGATCAGGGCTGGACTGGATCCGTGAGTGAGAGTGAGGAGAAGAGGATAGTGGATGTTCTCATCGTACACCTCCTTTCCCTCTCTCTGCATCTGAAAAACAAGATTCAGTTGTTCAGAAGCAGGAAAAAAAAAAAGACTACCGAATCAATAACTGAGTCACACTCACATATATGCATCGTTTCAGAGTATGTACACATCTGACTTAATAGTACTATATAAATAGCAAGGCCAACGCAATGACACTAATTTATAAATTAATTTAAAAAACATTAAAAAAGCCATTCAAACATATAATGACTCTTCTATGACAAACATGTTTTTAATTTATTATTTAAATATTTTTATGAGGTATGTCAGAGTATTTTTTTAAATATGATATCAGTACAGCTCTGATAACATAATTTAAAAAATCCTCATTAAAAGAATTACATTTATCAATAGAAAACCTTATTAAGTAGTTTGCCATATTTTATTATTATTTATTAGAAATAAAAATATTTTAACAAAATTGCACTGCTTTTCTAATATTGTTCTAAATCAAAGTCATGTGGTGTGACCAACATGCAGAAAAAATAGGAAGTGATATCATAACGAGGAGACCATAAGGACAATAAGTTAATAAGTCTCTACAAATAATCAGATAATTTGACTTTTTTATGACACAGCAAGATTAGTTCAAGTAAATGTCATGTGGTGTGACTACATAATAGTTCTATTTAAGCATTATTTATATACTATTACAGTATTTATTAATGTTTAGAATTATATTTTTCTATTTCCAGTTTTCATTTTAAGTTTTAGTAATTTTTATGTTTTGTCAATTTTATGAATTTTTGTATTTCTATTTAGCCTTAATTTACTTTTATTTTAGTTTACTTTTATTTTCAGCTTTTTTTACTTAAAATATTAAAATGTCACCTTACTAACTGAAATAAGTTACACATACGAAATGAGTTGAAATGAATTGTTTTCATTTAATATTTATATTTATTTTATTTCAGCTTTATTTCAATTACCAAAAACAATTTTTATTCATTTTAGTTTTAGTTACAATAACAACACTACTACCCAAAAACTTTATATTTATGAATTAATAATATATGATAAATTCATTATCCAAAACATGTAAACATAATTTGAAGAATTAAAAACGGTATTTAAAAATATGCTTCTATCTTGAGAAATATATGTAAATACTTTTTTGAAAATAAAGATTAAGATTTGGGTTGATAGGGTTTGACACATCAGCCCCAATGTTCAAATGACACTTACTCTACTGCTTTCATAACTGTTCTGACAAATTAGAGCAAGAACATTCTATTTCTGCTGCATTTTACTTAAAAAAAAAAAAAGTTCCTGTGATATGCCCTTCACTATTTGGATGTGCAGTGCAAGAACTCCCTCTAACAAACAAGGACAAGTGGCAAGAATCCCACTAACTGCTTAATAATGGCCCGCTTAGAGTAGAGGTGTCTGCAGAGGGAATGTCAAGCAGCCTTGTGGTACAATATGCCCTGTGGGTCTGCTTTTCTGCCACCGTCTGAGCTCTAGAGTTGTGGCAGTACACTGCCAGTCTCTTCTGCCCTGGAGCTCAGCCCTGTCCCAACCAATCAGATCCTCCAAGAAACCACACACTCCGCCAGCACTTAGAAAGAGAAACGTGCAGTTCATTTATATAAAATAAGACCCCTCCAAAAAGCAAACACAGCTGACGTGCGTGTAGACTTTCAGAGTGACTAAAATGTACGGGTTACACACACACACACACACACACACACCACTTTCTTACTGGATTTTAATTGTGGGATATTTTATGCAAACACCATTCCAACAGGACCATCACATACAGAGCACAGCAACTCACCCAATCATGCTAAAGTTATATCATTGACATGTGAACCTGAAAGGCCTTTCCAGGCAGAACTTTGAAGGGAAAGTTTTGAACCGTATCACTGATGTATCTAAGCATCCTCCATTGGCTACAAACAGAGAGAATAAACCATTACCAACAAACATTAAATCTGTATGAACACCATTAAGTGATTCCCAAATGGATACACATGCTCATTCTATCTTACTCTAACATTCACCTCATCATCTTTGTGGCCTGAGATAAAATAAAAACAGATAAAAGGACGCTCTTTTGCCCTTTATGTGTGTTATCTCTCTCTCCACCCCTCGACAGCAGCCAATGTTTGAACCTGTGACCTCTCTGTAATCGGGGCAGCCAGCCGTTCACACCAACATTCACACCAACCCAGACAAGTGAGACTGTAGTGCCTGTACCCTGCAATGTACACATTAAACCGCAGGAAGCATGTGTGTTCAGTCTGAAGAACACAAGCACAAGGAACAAGTGCACACTGATATATTACTTAAGCGCAAGGAACAAGGGCACACTGATATATTACTTATATATACACAACAATATAAAAATTTACCTGTCATTAAGAGAAATGTACAATTTACCAGACATTGCACGTCATTTTAGTACTACATTAAGTGTGAAAAGGAGCTATATTGAGCTTAATTCACCTCAGGTTTCTACACAATTGTTTATGATCAAATATCACAAAATAGTTTATAGAAGATAAATACTGTAAACTTACCAAATCACATTTATTTCCTTATTTATTATTACCTTTAGTAATGATGAACTACAATAACAATAATTTTACTTTTATCTATATTTAAATATTAAACAGTGATTTATTCTCATTTTGGGGATTTCAGGTCTGATCAACTATATCGTTTTTGATTCACACACACACACATACATGTATACACACACACACACACACGACTGAAGTGCCGACTCCCAATGAACTAATTTTGTCAAGTTAGATGACATGTTGTGCGTCACGTGAACACTGTGTAGGGAGCTTGTTAATTGGAACACAGCTAGAGAGTGTGCACATGGAAGTTAAGTTTGAGGAACAGTGGGAATGAGTGATGGAGAGAGGCCAGTAGGAAAGAGAGAGTACGAGAGGGAGCGCAATAAAAGTGTTAGCGAATGATATAGCAAAGAAGCTTAGAAAGAGAGAGAGGAAGGGGAAAAAGGCAGCGAGCTTACAAAGGTGAAAAGTTTAACAAGATAAGAGGATAACACACAGCCCCCTCGCCACGTCCCCACACCGCTGAGAGCCCCATCCACGGCCAGCCTGCACATGCGGGAGGGAGGGAGGAGATTTAGGGTCTTAAAGGAAACACTTCAATCTCCAAGACATCAGAGACTGGCTGGAGGTGAGGAGCGACAGACACCCGTACGTGTAAGTCCGGGAGGGGCCCGTAGACGCTGCTGTAATAGAAGACTGTGATTTGGAATTCTGAAGGAGGTGGGGCATGTGATCTATTGTCTGCCGTGCATTTCTTTGTGCTCTTCGTTCCTTACATTCGCACCCAGTGCACACTCACAGGGGCAGGGTGTTCATCAGAAGATAAGAAAGAGGAATTAATCACTTTGAGATATGATGAGGGCACTTCAGCTCGCCCCTCGTATCACACACACAGCTGCATGAACCGACGACAAACGAGAGTAAAGACGCACACACACGGCCGCGAACAGCGGGACTCTTGACTCAGCTATCTCGGCCCCTCGCTGCTCATGTCATTATCCGCACGGAAAACACAGTAGGTGGTCGGGCTCAAAAAGATCCCGTTAGACTTCAGGTGCATCAGGGCAACACTAGGAAGAGGTGAATGCATTAGCTAGTTGTGTGTGTGTGCAAATGGGCAAGCGTGGTGCCGTTTTGACTCATCTGGACAATACTTAAAGGTGCTGTGAACGATTTCACACATTTTGCTCACTTCCAACACTGAATATATTCGCTGCCCGTAGTTTCAGCCATGTGGCCTCTCTGCAAACCTGCAACATGGTTCACAGGCAGAGAGGATTTCAGGTGGGCTACAAATAAAATCACAGCTTGCTCACCTAACATGACAAAGCTTTTAAAATAAGAGCAGATTTTAAATAGCTGTACAAAAGTCGTGCAGTTTTTTAACAGTAAAACAAGGGGAACATCAATTATAATTAATAAGAAAATCCAATTGAATGCATCTAAATGTGTCTCTGACCCCCAGGGACGGTTTGTTATCGTGACTGGTTATTTGTTCTAAACCCCTGTTGCCCTGGTATGTTTTTGTGCCCCTAACTGGGACAACGTAAATTTAATTCATAAAATCATCTCACACTTCCCGGACTTGAATACACATTGTTAATTTTTGGCGGGGATTTAAACTGCGTCATTAATCAGAGTTTAGACCGTCCAAGCCCGAAACCCGTGCTCCAGTCTAAAATGTCCCAAGCTCTCTCTGATTTTGGATCCATGGAGATTCTCATTCCCACAAAAGAGAGAATTTTTCAATTTTTCTCATGTTCATTCTTCATTCTCAAGGATAGATTATTTTTTTTATTGACAAGACATTACTCAATCCAACCCTTTTGACAGATAAAAAATGCCATATGTATATATCAACGGCAATAGATATTAGATTAGATAGACAGATAATAGATTTCTTGGTTAAAAACACATCTGAACTGGTATCACCATCGATTTTATGGGATACATTTAAAGTAGTCATTAGAGGTGAAATTATATCTTATTCTACATATAGTAAAAATAAATAAGCAAAATTACAACAACTTATTGATTTGATTGCAAAAATAGATCAACATATCTCTCTAGCCCCTTCAGAAGAATTAGTTAAAAAGAGAGTGGAACTTAAAGCGCAATACGATCAATTATCAATAGAAAAAACTCATCAGAATCTGCTATGTTCTAAAGGGGATTTTTATGAACATGGGGAAAAGGCAAGCCGATTATTAGCACATCAGATAAAATGTCAACCAGCTTCCTAATTCCACAGATTTGAAACATGTCACAACAACTAAGTGGATCCTAAAGAAATTAATGACTTTTAAATAATAGTATTCCAATTGGATATACTTCTGAATTTCCAAAAGATACATCTGGTATGTCTATGTTTTTGAATGCTTTTAAACATTCCAACAATTAATCCAGACCAAAAAGAAAGCTTAGGACAGTCAATTGGTCTGCAAAAGGTTCTAGACTCCATTAATGCAATGCAAA